TTTTAGGTGTTACTAAGTCTTCTCTCTAAACTTCTCACTACAAACTTGTGCTCAAGTAGAATAGAATACTCATGAACTTAAACTTCATCACAATGGTGTTATATTTTAGATTTTGTATCTCCTCTAAGATTCAAAGATTTTAGAACTTTTAGAATTTCCAACTCAAGAATATTTAATTCCCTAACACTAATTGGACCAACTCCTAAAAAATACCCTAATTTCTAAAAAAGAAAAAAAATGTATGTCATGCAAATATGAATGCAACTAATATAAGAATGGATGTCTAAAAGTTATCCTCTCACCCAAACTTAAATCAAACGTTGTCCTCAATGTAAAATAAAAGTAAGAGAAAAGAGAAACTTCCTAGGTTTTGCACTTGAAAACTTAAGTTATGAAGTTGAGTTGTCTTCATTTAGAGGAGACTTATAGCATATGAATTTCCACAATTTGGTCCCCCAAACTTGTTCAATGACTTGGCCAAAATCAAAGAACAACAATTTATGCATTAACTTGGGCCATAAAAAGAAAAAAAAATCATAAATCTAAACTATTAAAATAAAAGACAAAGAAATAAAAGAAAAGAAAAATTTATGCTTGGGTTGCTTCCCAAGAAGTGCTTAATTTATAGTTATTAGCTAAACTTTCTACCACTCCAAGGTGGTTTTGGATCAGGTTGTAAGGCATGTCTTCTCGTTTTCTTAAATTTTGGCTTGCTTGCCTTTAAGTTGAATCCCCACCATAAGATTTTTTCCAATGACTGTTCTATGGTGGTTTGGGTTTAGGCCAAGAGATGTGCCTTCCAATTCTTCTAAGATAGCCTCCTTTGATTCCAAGTAAAATGAGGATGTGTTCAAACAATTTATATATTCTTTGATTGGGTCCTTTGCTTGAATAAGATAAATCTCAAATAGATCCTCATAAGTGTTTTCCTGCAAAATCTCATCAACCATATCAATAATAAAATAATCATTAAATTTGGATTTGATTAATGGAGACTCCTCATTAAACACTTCAAATGACACTTGAGCTTTTTCCTCTTCCTCCTTAGGGACATCGTCTTGTTTAGTTTTTGTAGGTATGCTTTCCACTTCTTCAAGTTGTCCTTCAATTTCCAAGGGTAAAGTGTTTACCTATTCTTCTTGATTTGTCATTATCGCAATAGGTAACTCATCTTGTATTTCTTCAGCAACTAAGTTGAACCAATATCTTGATTGAACTTCCAGATTTTTGTCCAAACATGTCTCTTCTTCTTGAGTTTGAAACCTTAATTGTGGCTCCAATATATCTTCATTATCCCATGAGAAGTTTGGATAACTCATCCAATCAAAGTTGCAAGTATTAGAATAAGAATTATACTGTTGGCTATAAAAATTACAAGAAAAATCAGCATGCTTGTTAGATGGTTTAAATAAGCAATCGAAACTAAAATGGTCCAATTGACACCATTGACAAGTAATATTAAATTCTTTTTATTATAGCCTCCTTTAATTTGATCTTTTCAATGACTACTTGAAATCATTCAAGTTCATCATCGTCAATTCTTGCTTCCCAATTGATAGTTATTGCTTCAACTTGTGCCCTTATCTCTAGATCAAGATAGTGATAACTCACATCAGTGTCTATGATAACTTGATCCCTAATCAAACCTACAAAGACAAAAACAAAAAAAAAGGAAAAAAAATCAAAGTAAAGAAATAAAAGAAAAAAAAACTTTCAAATTAAATTTAGAATTAACCAACTTCAATATTAATTAAATCAACAATCCTCGATAGCGACGCCAAAAACTTGATGCACTAAAATCACCCTAACAAGTGTACTAGTCGCTCCAAATAACATAATGATGAGAAAAGTGTTGAACCTACAAGGATTGTGTTTAACTAAGTACCAAAATAATTAATCCAAATTTATTTGAACAATTGAAAAGGAAGAAACTTTAATTAAAAATAATAAAAAGAAAATAACAATTAAAATAAAACTAATCAAGATATGAGGTACTAAAATATCGATTTTACCATAATCAATCAATATAAATTCTAGATTATCAAATTGTTAAGTGTTATTGCATATGATGACGGATTTTCCTAAATTAATTAACCAGCTTTCTCAAGTCAAGCTAATCCTTCACTTGTTTGTCAAATTAATCATATTTCTATGTAATTTCAAACAAACTAATGAGCATTAAATTCTATAAAAACCTCTAACTTAAGAAGGGAGAATTCCTAACTCTCTTCTCTTCCTCCACTACCACATATGAGTTAATTATCTCTCGATTTCATAGTCTAACACACAGTCTATATTATTATTAGTCTAATTTATGCAATTCTTTCTCAAGTTCATGCATAAATTATTAAATCAATTGAAAGGTAATCAGGCTCTTAATGCATTAAGTTTAATAATATAAACTCATCATGCAAATAACTTTAATTGAAAATATAAAAATCACAAAATCTATATTAAATTGATTAGGCTATATCGTAGTCTTAGTAGGATAAATTAGTTCATAAGAAAAATAATAAAACTTGAAATTATAATTATGAACATTTGAATATGAAATAATAGATAAAAAGAATCAAAGGAAAAACAAAATCCAATTTAAGGAAATTAAACTCTTTGATCTTCTATTGTTGATAAAATCTTTATCTTAATCTCCAATAATACCCAAAAAAGGGCTGCCACCAGCCTCCTCCCCTCCTTAATTCTGAATTTGGATGGGTATCTATAGAATTTTAGAAACCCAAATTGGGATAGAAGTGGGACCCACACCTATAAATTAAACATGGATTTTGTAAAAGTCACATAATGGGTCAACACCTTCAACAAGGTGCCAATATCTTCTATTCAGCGCATGGAACCATCGCCGTCTCGGGTTTTTGGCATTCTTAGCAATTTCTTCAATGGTAAAATTGTAGATATGGTCCTCTAGATTTTATATGATGAGCACTTGGATCTCAAAACTTAAGATTCATTCATTTAGGTCCCAAAGAAGCGCCTTTCTTCCTGCAATTAAGTTTCTCAACTTTCAAAAGATGTTCAATTAATCCCAAAAACTCTTATTTTTATGCATTCAAGTCCTTTTTTGCACAAAGGGCTTGTTTGGTACAAC